AATGCGTTTTTCGGAGGTGGTCATGAACGCCTCTCGAGTTGAACGGAATAAGAGAAGGCACGGAGACGGACTAGTCGTGGCGCTCTGATCAAGGAAATGCCAATGCGTTTTTCGGAGGTGGTCATGAACGCCTCTCGAGTTGAACGGAATAAGAGAAGGCACGGAGACGGACAAAGACTCACCTGTATTTGTTGAAAAAAGGAGAGCTGTGTTTTTTTTTTTTTTTTAAACGCAGACTATTACTGGTTTTCACAGTCTCAACAAATATAGGTACTGTACGTCTTTGTCCGTCTCCGAGCCTTCTTCCGTTCCACTCGAGAGGCGTTCATGGCCGCCTCCGAAAAACGTAAATTAATTATTCCTTCAATGAAACCATGAAGAAAATCAAGCGAGGAAATCACAAAATACATTCTGTAGGCGGGATATAGAATTTATTTTGTGATTTCCTCGCTTGATTTTCTGTTTTGATGCATTATTTTCAATTTTCGTAGTTTCATTTAAGTACAGTAATAGTTAATTTACATTTTTCAGATGCGGTCATCAACGCCTCTCAAGTTGAACGGACGCCTCTCGAGTTGAATGGAAGGAGCGTAGCACCATCTAGTGGAGGCATTGTAGATTGCGCCTTATAATGTGAAGCGTCCAATGTATGAAAAAAATTTACAAAATAGCCATTCATTGAAGGTGTGCCTCATAATCCAGTGCGTCTTTTAGTGCAGAAAATATGGTACTGTAAACGGAGGTAAAGGCAACATCACATCTACTTGCCTTTCACCAGGCCACCATTTTCACTCTACATATTTCATTACACACACTTACAAAAGCTACATCCTAGTCGCTGTGCAGTGATTCCTCACTTACTCAGCTAATGGGGCCCGGGACCCTGGCGTGATAAATGAAAAACCGCAAAGGAAGCAATTGATATAAGGAGGCTTGGAGGTGCCACCATCAACAGGGACGAGTAGACCTATGTGCTCCCACACACCTGGGACTCACTGCGTCAACGGCAGCAAGGGGTTGAAGCACAGGCTTGATCGGGTCGGGGAGAGCCTTATTTTGAAGTTTCCTCAACCCGATCAGCTGTTTTTAGATGTGTCACGAGGAAGCAGTGAGAGCTCTGCCGAAGGCTGAAGTGACAGCCGAAACTGTCAGCTCTGAAAGAGATTTTCTCTTAACGGAAAAAAAAAAAAAAAAAAAAAGACCATCTGAAAATTAAAAGAAACCTTCAAAACTATATTAACTCAAAAAGTCCAATTTTTCTTGAAAAGTACGCCGTGAAATCATCATCGTCTGAAACCCTCCTCCATTGTAAATCAAGCCTCGGCCACCCAATCAGAAGTGAAAGTAGCTGAACCAATGAAAGAACAGATAAACTCCCTTGTCTAAGGGCCTGCGGGATGCCTTTCCAGAGGTGGACCTGAAATATGATTGCCTGAAAGAAGAACCAGCCATGTTACTTGTGTGTGTGTGTGGGGCGGGGGATCGCCCTTTCCATTCATCATTATCCAAGAAGTAGCTGTCACTTTCCAAACGTTTGGTGACACCTGGTGTAAAGGAATGATTTTTCACATACAATGAGGAGATATATCATAAAATAGTGACTCTTTACTCATGCATCAAGATGTAGGGGAAGGAGACGGAATGGAAATTAATTGCAAAAAAGAGTTTTGTTGTTTTTGTGATGTGGTATTGTATGATGTCACCTAAAATTTGTACGATAAGCTCTTCTCCAATTTGAACTTCAATAAGTCCAAGTGCAGGTCCAGACTTACTCGTGAGCATCTTCAAGCCCTACTGAGGCTCCAAACTGTTTCCTCCCTCAAGCCAAATGTGGCCCGGCTCTGCGAGAAAAAGCGCTGCCAGGTCTCTAGCAGCAAGAAGTAGGCAAGAGAAGCCATGTTCGGAACAGTTCATGTTCAACGTTTCATTCACTCTCAGAAAGTTAAAAGTTAAACTTACTTGCTGTTAATACAGACATTTGAATCGGAATAAAAATAATTAGATTTCTCTAGTCATCAACTATATGTGGTTTCTCCAGTCGTCTCTATCTGCTGTCTGAATATTATTATTATTATTACGATGATGCATGCAGTGTGACAATGTCTTAACTACAAAACCAATTCCAATGAAGGTGGGAGGTTGTGTTGAACATAAATCAAAACAGAATACAATGATTTGAAAATCAAGTTCAACCTCTATTTAATTGAGTACACTACAAAGGCGAGACAATGTTCAAACAGATAAACTGCTAAATTGCACACTTGCGATTCTCAAACAATGCTGACGCTCATTTGTCAAGTGTGACCAAACATCGCACAGATCCTCAGTAAAATATTTTATGCGTGCCCTGAAAGAGAGCGTGATCCAAATGAGTCCATGTGATCCAATTTTGTCTCGTCACCCAAATTGAAGGAGCAGGTCCTATCCAAAAGCGGTACTCTTCTTGGTATGTAAACCATGAGTTGTAATACTGTATATGTGTGTCTCAGATCCACATGAAGACAATGCCTGCAGCCATGTACCGCCTGCTGACCGCCCAGGAGCAGCCAGTTTACATTTAAATAAATGATTACTTTCTGACCCAAGATCCTTTGAATTTCTACTGTAACTTTCCTGTCTCCCTCTCTACTCTGACCGGCATATATTCTCTAAAGCAGCGGTCCTCAACCTTTTTTGCTCCGTTTAATGTCAGACAATATTTTCAGGGAGCGGCCTTTAACATATATAATTCATAACTTTAACATATAACGAATAACTGTAACAAAATAATATGATATTACCTGCATGAAAACTGTGATATTTTCTAAACATAATAATAAATACGAATCATGACACGAGGAACGTCCTTTCTGGCCACAACGCTCTCCAGTCGCTGTGGTAATGTTTAAACTAGAGCTGTCAAACGATTAAAAGATTTAATCTAATTAAAAATGCAACTGTCATAATTAACTCAAATTCACTAAAAATTCATCGTGATTACTCACGCATTTTTTATCGTTTCTGAATTTCCTTATATTTTTTTGTCCTATTTTTCCCCATTTTAATGCTCTCATCAACATGGAATCATGAATCAGTTTTCTATGTGCAAAATGCAAATATTTACTGAAGTAATTTCGATTTTCAATTTTACATGAACATTTTTCACTTGGAGCAGTTATTCACACATATTATGTGTGAATACATAATCTCTCACACAATATTACTGTCCATCAACAACAGTGAAAAAAATATTTTGTCATACAACAGCTGCTTTAACAGCTCTTTTTATGGAATCAAAACAGAGCAATATAACATTAGAAAGTGCACATCTAAGGTAAACTAGTACTCAGCCTATAGTGGATTTAAGCCATGGTTGCATACTTCGTTTTTCTCAAGTTTGCTTTGAACACAGCAGTCAGGATATGTTGAGTCTGTTAGTCCTTCTTGCTCGGAAGTCTCTCTACGGTTTTGTGTAGACAT